ATGAAAAGGATATCTTTTTTGGGTGTTAGTTCTAAAAGGTCTTGTAGGTCTTCCTAGAACCGTTCAACTTCAGCTTCTTCAGCATTACTGGTTGGGGCAGTACTGGCTTGGATTACTGTGATATTGAGTGGTTTGCCTTGGAGATGAACAGAGATCATTCTGTCGTTTTTGAGATTGTATCCAAGTACTGCATTTTGGACTTTTTTGTTGACTATGATGGCCTCTCCATTTCTTCTAAGGGATTCCTGCCCACAGTAGTAGATATAATGGTCATCTGAGTTAAATTCACCCATTCCAGTCCATTTTAGTTTGCTGCTTCATAGAATGTCAAACTTCACTCTTGCCATCTCCTGTTTGACCACTTCCAATTTGCCTGATTCATGGACCTAACATTTCAGGTTCCTATGCAGTATTGCTCTTTACAGCATCGGACCTTGCTTCTATCACCAGTCACATCCACAACTCAGTATAGACAATGTTAATTGATTTATCTTTAAGCTCATGGATTCTTTCTTCTGCCTGCTCAGATCTGTTGCTGAGCCCCTCTAGTGAATTTTTCATGTCAGTTATTTTACTTTTCAATTATATGTAGTTATAGAATTAACTTGTAGAAAGTCTGTATCTGTATACATCTCTTGTTGGAACTTATATTAGCCTTGAGCTCACAAAAAGGGGAAGGGAATGGCAACCAACTCCAGTTTTCTTGCCTGGAGAATTCCATGGACAGACCATGAGGTTGCAAAGAGTCAGACACAGCTGAGAAACTAACACACACACACACACAAAGGAATCATTACATCCCCCTTATCTGTACTTATGAATATCATACATTATTATTTTATTTTCTACATATTAAAATTTTAACCAGGACATAATTGTCAAGCACTGACAGTAGACACCCTAGTTACATTAGTGCACCAGGACTATTGTGGTGGCCTAAATTTTTAGCAGCTTTGTTTTATCCAAGAATATCATTTTATTATTTCGGAAGTAAAGTGTTATTTTCTTACATGACTGAAAATACTTTACGCCTTTTTTTTTTAATAAAGACATTTATTTGGAGAATATTGCTAGCATATTCTCAGCCTCACCAGGTATTAACAGTTCTTCAGTTCAGGCAATAGAACAAGTCCTTGTGAGCTTCTTATAAGGAAATCCACAGCTTCCTCATCTGTTTTATTACTGGATGATTCATAATCCAAAATATGAGCCTTGAGGGCTTTTTCCTTAAAAGCGGAAGTAGGGAAAATATCTGAAGCAATGATGTTGACTTCCTTTTAAAAATGTTTTTTAATTTACGAAACTTTAACTGCATATTTCAGTCTTGTGGAATCTTTTGTGTTATTCTGACTGTCAATAAGAACCAGGGGGTTGTGTTGATGATTCTTGATGATTTCAGCAACACTTCCAAAGTACTAGAACAAGAAAACACAGATGAATTATGCATTGGAAGTTATATTAACCTTGAGCGCCACTACTCCCGTATTCTCCCACTCTTTCAAGTTAGTCAAAGTTACTATTCCCAGCTGACATTTTATCCAAAAAAGTCTAAATTAACAGAGGTCACAACCCTTGAGGTGTCAGACCCTGGCCATTCAACAAGATTAAAAACACAACTGACATCCTCAATTAGTATAACTACTTAGAGAAATTACTTTGTTATGTTTTAATATTTTGTTTTTTATTTAGCGTCAAGTATAAAGCTGTCATACATTGAATTTCTGTCTATATAAAACATAGACTGTCTGTTATGTTGCATGTCTTAGATACAAGGACTGATGTAATAAATTAATCTTAGAATTTAGTGTCAAGATAATTATTTCCCAGATTAATTCATGTTTGTTTTTGTGTTGTTTTTTTTTAACAAGTAAGAAAAACTTTATAAACCCTCATATACCCATTTTTGCTTTAGCTCCTAATAAATTTAGAGCTCAATTAGTGTCTAATTAATAATGGAATTTCATGCTAGGCTCTTACTATACATACTTATTTTTCTGTATATTAATTTCTATCATCTATTGGTTTTAATTTAAGGCTATCACAATATTTTTCTGAAAAGTAGTCAGTGTTTTAAATGAAGGATATAATAAATGTAACACAGACCATGAAATGATATGCATCAATTATACAAAAGTGTTACAAGCTCACAATTATCAAATAAAGCCTTTAAGGGTCATTTTTTAAAAAGTGATCATTGTTTTGCAACACTGCTATGTAATTTAGCAATAATCATCTATTGATTTTCTTTTAGTTTTTCATATAAAGATAAACATCTAGAATAAAAAATGTTTAAAAGCCTTCATTAATTATTTGGATAACTTCCAAATATTATATATTAAATAAATATTCAGAATACTAGTCAATTTTTCAAATGAAACACCAGTTGTTTTCTAGATAACTGGCTTCTGAATACTTGGTCAGGGAGGAGAGGTAAGAGACAGAGACTTTCAAGTACCTTTAGTCTTTATTTCTTACTTTCTCTTCAGTCATTTCCCCCTCTTGTACTTGCCAGTGAATTTTTTATGATACTCATAAAGACATTCATTCTGTTTGTTTGGCACACCATATTGTTAAACTGAATACAGCTGGAGGTTAAATTGATGGACTAACAAACCAAGAAATGAAATAGCACAACCTCTTTGCAGTGAATTCCAAATGAAAACGTGTGTTCTGAACCCAGGAAATACGGGAGAGAGTTGCTATGTTTACACAAATAAGCATCTCACTCTGTCCTTATTCTCTTCTGAATATTTTTGAGTACTACTTTGTTACAGTTTGGGGATTGAAATATTTGAAGTAGGGGGTTGAGCTGAGTTGAAATATTTGAAGTAAGGAGTGGAGTTGAGGCCTTTTTGTGATATTTTTGTTATTTAAAATACTTTTAATATCCCATATTTAAGATATAGGCTTATACACATATTTCTGATTTAATTGAATAAAGAATTGAGAATAACTTAGTTGCAGTTTCCCCTTGTCTTAGTCGCTCAGTCGTGCCCGACTCTTTGTGACCCCATGGACTACAACCCACCAGGCTCCTCTGTCCATGAGATTTTCCAGGCAAGGGCACTGGAGTGGGTTGCCATTTCCTTCTCCAGGGTATCTTCCCAACCCAGGGATTGAACCCAGGTCTCCTGCACTGCAGGCAGATTCTTTACCAACTGAGCTATAAGGGAAGCCCTTTTTTCTGTCTACATTAAACTCAGTGTATTTGAAATATTCACACATGGACCGAAAAATGTGTTTGATAACTCAAAATCCATGATCAATAAAATAAAGCAAATATATCAAAGCAATAAAATACTCAATATGTAGCCACATAGTGCTGAAAAAAAGTTGCAAAAAAGTTAATCATGTAGTTACTTTTTCTACCCCAAAATACTCAAACACAAACAGACTTTTTAAGATATCCACATGCTTCATATCATATAACCAAAGTTTTCATTTTTCAATTCAAATTTTCAGTATCTGTGACAAATAATCTTTTTACTATAGACAATTTAAGTAAATGTTCTAAAGGACTGTCATACTTCTAGATGCTAGTATAATAATATGTGTTTATTTTAATATTCATAGGCCAGATACCTGGGGAGAGGGGTGACACTCTGATGTATTCATTCTGGGATAGGGATGAAGATTCTTTAAGCCAAGAAGAATCATTGTTTACCAGAGTTTTCTAGCAGGACAAGGAAGTCCAAAGCCCCTCTAAGAGCTCAAAATATTATCTGAGAGTATTTCAGGACCACTAAAAAGGACAGCTCCTGCATCCACCTTTAAGCCTTTTACAGACGTATTGGATTAGAAGAGAAATTACTGACCTCTTCACCAGTTTTCTTTCGGCCCAAAGCATACTGTTTTGTTGCTTCAATAAATCGCACAGGGATATTATATACTCTCTTATTAAAAAATACAACTAATGTATATGGCTGTTTGGAATCATGGCCAGAGCTCTTCCGAATAAGAAATGATCCATCCTGTTTATTAAAAGAATAATTAAGATTAGTGTTACTTGTATTTCCATAGGTTAAAAATCAGTTTATGAAAATACCTATATTATATTCAAAAGGTAATTATTTAAGTATATGATTTTTGTTACTGATTAGAACGTGTTTTATTTTCTAAGAAAATACTTCAGTAAAATATATACTTATAGAAAACTCTGAATGAGGTCAGTGCTAACTTTTTGAGGCACTGAAGAGACTAGGATCTGGAAATGTGTGAAGGGACACATTAAGGTCAAATCTAAGGAGCACTCTTGAACTAGGAGCCATGTTCACAAGTTACCTATGAATAATAAAACATATCAGACAAATTCCATTCAAAAGCACTATAAGAAGAAAGCAGACATTGGGAACCAAAACATTTCAACTGATGGCAAGTGGAACTCTGCTTAGTGTTATGCGGCAGCCTGGATGGGTGGGGAGTTTGGGTGAGAACGGATACATGTATATGTATCCATATATGTATATGTATGGCTGAGTCCCTTCACTGTTCACCTGTAACTACCACATTATTTGTTGATCAATTGTACCCCAACACAAAATAAAAAGTTTTTAAAAAGTGTAACATGGCATTCCAAATTTAATTAAATATCTTTAAAAATATTATAGAATCATAAATTCAAAAATTATGAACAAAAAGTGGACAAAAAACAGCAAGGAAAAATACAATGACTTGATTAAACTCAGGAAAGAAGTTGAAGAGAAAGCAAAACTATATCAGAAATGAAGAAGAAATTAATTATAAGGAGGGCATGGCAACCCACTCCAGTATTCTTGCCTGGAGAATCCCCATGGACAGAGGAACGTGGCAGTCCATGGGGTTGCAGAGAGTCGGACAAGCACACATTATCAGGGTGACAGCTGTGCCAATATAGGCTGAGGACAGAATACGAGATTTAAAACAGTCAAACCTTGTTTGATCTGTATAATGCCTCTTCGGCCGACTTTCGATCACAGGCACCAGCATACCACGGTTTACAGTGAACATCAGCTTCCTGTGAATGAGAAGGCATTGTTAAGCATGAGATGGCACTTCAATGACACTGTAGTTTCTGGGCACTAGAAACAAAGTTTGCATCACCAGAAAGACCTAACTACATTTGGGTGAGTAATCTGAAAATGAGTTTTATGCTTCTTTTGCTCAGCTGCAAGGATTACATAATTTTCCCATTTGACCTTAGGGGCTGGACTTAATACTTGAACAAAAGAACTAAGTCCTGCCAGATTCCTGAGCCATTTATTCCTTTCTCCTAAATAAGTTACCATCTCCCTTTCTATTATGATCTTATTGTGCTTTATGGACTGTTCTGTAATTTACAAAGCACGTTTATAAATATTATCTTATTTGATTCTTATTACCACTTTGAAGGCAAGATAAATACCTGCCATCATCCTTATTTTAAATTTGAGAAAGCTTAGAGACTTGCCCTTTCTCTGTCTTTTTTTAAAACTGCTATTTTATGTGTTTTAATATCATATGCCTCCACAGATCTATTCTGAGAAAATTACATAGTTTAAATAGAATCTATGTGAGAGGGAGAACAATAAAAACAGCACACTTCTTTGCTAGTTTTGAAGAAGCACCAATGGTTATTTATGGCATCCAGAATACAAATTAGAATAAATGGAGCAAGGTCTTAACAATTGGGGGAAAAAATGTATTCTGTACCCATCAGCAAATGACAACTCACAAGCCAACTTAAAATAGAATCTGTTCTCAAGTTTCACTTCCAAATCTCTCTTATAAGAAGGCATTCCCTTTCCTGCAGTTTATGAGTTCATGTCATACCTGTTCTGACAAACTGGAGTTAGATGAAAAGCTTGGCAGTGGGCCATCCACGGTTGGGCTTCCCCCTTCTGGAAATCCTGAAAGGGATTTGAAAAGTCAGTGGATCCTGTTATATCTCGATCAGTTACTATGCCTGTACATCAGCATTGCGCTGGGTGCTGCAAGGAGCACACACTCTGAAAAATCACAACATGAAAAATCACACACACCAAAAAATCCTTAAGGGTAGTGCTTCTCAAAGTGTGGCCTGAGCACCCTGGGGATCCCCAAGATTCTTTCAGGGGATTTGCAAGGTCTTTTCTAAATACATATCTCTGTGAAGCCCAATTTTCTTCATATACTTCAACCAGTAAAACATACTGTAACAGGTTTAATGTAGATGCAGATTTGAGAATTTGGCTGTCTCTGTTACTGTAGGCATTTAAGAAATTTTAAAAGTGTAAAGCGACGCCACTCTTTTCACTAAATCGTTTTTTTTTTAATATATTTTTTTCATAGAAATATGTTACTTATTACATTACATTAACATGTAATGAGTTTAATATTTTTTAAATGGGTTAATAAAATCTTTAAATATCTTTAAATTAATATGTTAAATATTACTAGAAAGAAACACATAAACCATAGTTCTTTGGGTCTGCAATGCTTTTAAGAGTGTTAGAATGGTCCTGAGGTCAAAATGATTGAGAATTGCTGCCTTAAGTACAAACTCCATCTAAATGTGAAGACATGAAATGGAGAAAATACTTGGCTGTATTTATTCATTCAAAAGCTTTGGGAATATACAGTAGTCAACAAAACAACAAAATATCTCTCCTTCCTCGAGCTTAAACTTTAATGGAGTGAGATAGGCAATAAAGACATAAGTAAACATACATATAATATTATAGAGACATAAGTGCTATGAAGAATAGACAGGGGAGCGGGTGGTGGATAGTTTTGGGCAAGTAGTGTGTTTATATAGACAAGTCAGGGAGACCTCACTGAGGTGACACTTGGGTAAGATCTGCAGTTGGAAAGGGAAGAGGCATGTGTATATCTCAGGGAAGGATGTTCCAGGTATAGGAAACAGTGAATGCAAGGGCCTGGCAAATTTGAGGAATAGAGAGGGAGCCACTGTGCCTGGACTACAGTGAGAAAAGGGGAGAAGAATAAGAAATGAAGTCAGACAGGAGGTGGGGAAGGGGCAAAGTTTGTGGGACCCCTGGGACACTTAACATGACTTAAGCTTTAACGAACATGGCATGGGAAGCTTTTGGAGGGTTTTGAATAGAATAGTAAAATTGTCTGCCTGTCTTTTAATAGGTCACTCTGGCTCCAGGGCTGAAAATAGAGAGAAGGTGGTGAGAACAAAGAGAGGAGACCAGTTGAGTGTTGCAAACCCAGACAGGAGATGATGGTGGCTTGCAGTACATAGTATCAATGGGAGTGGCAACAGTGATTGGATTCTGAACATATTTTGAAGGAACATTTGGAAAGAGTGTGAGGAAAGCGAGCGAGGAGTCATGGGTGACTCTAAGGTTTTGAGCAGAGCAACCAGAGTCATCCTTTCTTAGGAGGGAAAGTCTGCAAGAAAAACAGGATTAGATGAACCAAGTGCTTCAGATAAAAGTGTCCTGGATTTTCAAAGGTGAGAGCCACCATTGTTAACAGGAGGGAGCAGTGTGGCAGGCCCAGCAAGGTTAGGTATGAAGGAAGGCTGTCTTCTAACAGGTGGGGACAATATTCCCAGATGGGAGCAATGTAAGAGGTGGTCACGTGCTTCTAAGGTACATAGTACAAGGTGGCTAAGGGTTTCCATGGTTTGGGCAGCTGAGGGAGTTCAAGGCTGATATTTTCTGATCCCTGGATATGTGCTAGTCCTGTTCTGTTTTCCAAGTCTCAGCTCATTTCCCCCTCACATCTGCCCTATGTAGGAGGAGCTCTCAGACCCTGTTTTATAGATCAAGTCTTCCCTGGCCACTGTAGCCCTCACTGCCTCCAATCCTGTCTGTGCCCAACCCCTGCCACTTTGCTTCATTTTTCTTTATGGTACATTAGCATTTACCTGATACCGTATGACTTATCTAGTTGTTTATTTTTCCTATCTCCTCTAGTAGAATAGAAGCTCCATAAGGGAGGGACTCATTTGTTTTGCTCACTGCTGTAGCCCCTATGTCTAGAATCAGTTCAGTTCAGTCGCTCAGTCATGTCCGACTCTTTGCAACCCTACGAACTACAGCACACTAGGCCTCCCTGTCTATCACCAACGCCCAGAGTTTACTCAAACTCATGTCCATTGAGTCGGTGATGCCATCCAACCATCTCATCCCCTGTCATCCCCTTCTCCTCTTGCCTTCAATCTTTCCCAGCATCAGGGTCTTTTCAAATGAGTCAGTTCTTCACATCAGGTGGCCAAAGAATTGGAGTTTCAGCTTCAGCATCAGTCCTTCCAATGAATATTCAGGACTTATTTCCTTTGGGATGGACTGGTCAGATCTCGTAGTCCAAGGGACTCTCAAGAGTCTTCTCCAACACCACAGTTCAAAAGCATCAGTTCTTCAGTGCTCAGCTTTCTTTATAGTCCGACTCTCACATCCATAATGACTACTGGAAAAACCATAGCCTTGACTAGACAGACCTTTGTTGGCAAAGTAATGTCTCTGCTTTTTAATATACTGTCTAGGTTGGTCATAACTTTTCTTTCAAGGAGCAAGTGTCTTTTAATTTCATGACTGCAGTCACCATCTACAGTGATTGTGGAGCCCCCCAAAATAAAGTCTCTCACTGTTTCCATTGTTTCCCCATCTTTTGCCATGAAGTGATGGGACCAGATGACATGATCTTAGTTTTCTGAATGTTGAGTGTCTAGAATAGTGCCTGGCATATGGCAGATGGTCAATAAGTATTTGTCAATTGAAAGAATGACTTGGGTTAAAAAACAGCAAAGGGTATAATAAAACTTTACATAGTAAAAAAAAAAATTCTATAACTACACCATTTCACTTTGCATTCAGAATTTTAGAAAAGTTATATTTTGTTTCATTTATTTAAGATGAATCAACATCCAGTTAAAACCTAGTAAACAGATTTATGTTTATTTAAACACATGTACATTTTGTTTACAAAACAACAAAATTATTGTTTACAATAATTATTCTCTTTATTTAAATGTAACAGATCTTGAATACTTTGGAATATTTTTCAAATTATTCATGTCAGGAAGGGTTTTGTTTTGTGTTTTCATTTTTTTCCCTACATTAAGTAGAAAGCAAATTGAGGTTTGGGTAATTGTGTTCTGTGAGCCTGACTTCATATATTTTTAGGGTATTGTATTATTTGCCTTGGGAAAATTATTCAGATATTTGCTAAATCTTCTTTTCAGGGTACCTTTTATAGATACACTTTATAATCATTAAAAGGTATTTTAGATTTAATTTAAATATCATTTATTGAAAACCTTCTATGTACCAGGCACAACATGTTGTTTTACTTAATCATCTTATTTTGAAAATAGTTATATTGTGGTGAAAAAAAAAATAAATGATGATCAGTAAAATAATCAAAACTAAAAAAGAAAAAAGAATGATCCCAAATCTATTTACTTTTCCGAACATCTCTATGAAATAAGTATTCTTGACCCCATTTTACAGATGAGGAAACAAACTGGAGAGGATACTAAGATACTCCACTGGAAGAGGCAGTATTTCCCTGGACCCCTGGGTGGAGACATGAAGAGCCAGCTCACACAATACTTGATATTGCTCTTCATGCCTTCATTGTACTTACTTGGCAGAGGTATAGGTTTTTGATGAACTGCCCTGAAAAGAAGAAATTCAGATTAATTAAAGGGCAATGCACAAGATGAATAAGTTTGACTTTTTGTTTGCACTGAAGATACTCAGAACAGGTGCATCACAAAGGATCAATAGGAAGAACCAATAAAACATATTTAAAGACAGGAGAGGCACTACAATGTTCAAGAGAAGTAGGATTATTCCCTTTAGTTTCTTTAAAAGAAGGAGGCTTAGCTTGTGTTAGATTTGACGTCAGTCCAATCATTAACCGAAATATTAGTTAAGTCTCTGTGATTCTAAGCAGTTCTTTTAAAGTTGTTGCCTACTTAGCATTTTTTTAAAATTTAATTGCAAAGCAATGAACTACTAAATCTTTACTGATCACTATAAGCCAGTGTTTCTGTGCAGTATGACAATGCAGGTGTTAAAGAAACTTATTTTTAAAGGAAAAGATTCTTACTTCGGGGCAGGAGGAGGAAACACCGGTGACTGCATATTTTCTTGTCTGTGACTAGATCCCCGGTGGCGTTCAGCAGGTATAGGTTTTTCTGCATTAAGAAAATGATCATATTAGGATTAGAGAGAAATGTCTATCCCCATGCCCAAACCCAGTATCAACTGAGAAGAACTGAGTTTGGTCAAATGTCTTCCCATGAGCAAGTCTTTCACCAAGAAGCTCTGAAGCCATGAAGTTTGCTCAGAGTTGTATTTACTTCCTGTAGAGGCTCACCCTAAGCCTTCACTATCACTCCAACTCCCTGCTCAGCAGGCATGGAGGACTATAAGGAATGGAAGGATAGCAAGCCAAAATCATCAAAGGAAAGGCAGAAGAAAGCAAGACAACAGGAAAAGAGTCTGGAGGAAAGATGTGGGAAATGCTGGAAAAGACCCAGTGAAGCAATGAAAGCAGACAGGTGAGTAATAATGCACCTTCAGAAAATATCTACCACCCATCATCAGAGACAGGTATGCCCATGTTAACTCAGAAAATGGTAGCTTTTAACATTGAGTACCTTCAAGTGTGGAATTAGATGGGTACAGAACTTTCGTTTCTATGTAGTGTTTTAGGTCTTGAGATTATGAATGATTCTTCTGGGTTTTTTCCTCCCAGTATTTTTCAAATTCAAATTTTTTTTAAAATGGGAAAGTTCTAATAGAAAGTATACATGGTTATGATCAAGGAAAGGAAGCATCTGAAGGTGTACTAAGAAGATAGCTATTTGAACTCAGGAAACATTGTTTTGAAAACTTAGCACAAGAACTTGTTCAAACAAACAGATTTTTAAAATTTTCATTACTTAACTTAGCCATTAATTCTGAGACATATGAATGGTTCTAAAACAGTCTGCACACCTATGTAAGGTTGTGGTACAGTTTCTGGCAAGTCATATCTGTCTACAGACAGGCAGGTTTGAGGCATGTCGACTGTGGTCTACTGCACAGATGTAGCTTGGCAAGCCCAGGTCCTGATCAGCTTTGCTACTCAATACTCGTGGCAAAGTAAAGACTGTTCTGTTTAAAAATTGAGCTTTATGTTTACAATTGCCTTATAAATAATGAAAGAAATTTAGAAATATATTTGTATACAAATTTTTAATCAAAATAACTTTTAGAGGACATGTTCTTCCATCAAAGTAATATAGATTTACCTTCGCAAACACTTGAGGCATTCTGTTGAGAGGCAACTGGAGTCTATTAATAAAAAAAAAAGGGTAAGGATCTTCAATACAGTGGTATGTGGAAATAAAAGTCAAAACAATACTATTAAAATAAATACTGGGGAGAATTATTTCTTTGATGCATGGCTTTTCTTTCAATGACAAGAACAACCATTAAAAACACACAGTCCCCAGCTCAACCTTTGCATCAAGTGATGATGGACCAGAAGTGTGTCATAGAAGGAGCGGTGTCACTTTGGTGACAGTCTGTCAGCAGGGCTGGTAGAAGGCATGGCCCCCAGCAGCTGCTGGGCAGTAGCACCTGTGCAGTGGAAATCTGGCATCTGGCTGAGGTCTCAGAACCCCACCATCTTGGTGTTTGTGGTTGTAAATGTCAGGCTACAGTGTAGATACTAGGTCAAGATGGGCTTCCTTAAATAGTGGGCTGGCTCAGGTTCCCCACGTTCTGGCCAGAATATGAGTGTAGTCAGGGCTGTGTGCCTGATGTACAGTTGTCGGTCATTAGCTCCCAGACCAGCGGGTGGGGAAGCAGATCCAGGGCCTCCCAAGGGGAAGACAGAGGTCACAGGAGGCAGGGAGCCTGGCCTCTGCAACTACTTAACTCAGTGAAGCCACACGCTTCCTGGAAGACGGGACCCTCCCATCTTCCCTGCCTAAACGAGGATTCCAAGATTCTCTTGGACTGTCCAGGCAGCAACAAGATTGCTGTTTCCTCTTAGCTGAAAGCACTGTTAACTTTAAATAAATGGATAAGAATGAACAATGCAGGAAATACGAAGCACATTTAAATGCAGAATTAACTCACTGTCTTCAGTGGCATAGCTGTTTTCTTCCTGGGGGATAAAAAGAGATTGACTTTGTTAAAACACAGCAGAGATAAAGAGGAGCTGATGACTTATGATTTTACTCTCAAATATAAACTAGAATAATGAAAGTGATACAAGTGTGTAAGAAGATGATCCATGCAGGGCAGAGAGGGGCAGAAACAGGATTCAGTCATGATCTTCTGAACCTCAGAGAGCATCCGCTGACAGATGGCCATGGGGTTAATGGGGATATACAGGAGAGCCAGTTGCCAGGGAGTCAAGATAACTGAGCTCTTGTTCCAGTTCTACAACTAATCACCCTGTGACCTCAGGCCTCTCTCTTGGCTGTGAGGGCCAGTCTGAGCTTTAGTTTCCTCATCTGTAACGTAAGGACCACAAACAGTATTTTCAAAGGTACATGCAGATCCCTCCCTTCCCCCGACAGCACCTCAGGGCTGCTGTCGGGGGAAGGAGGGTGAAGACGTGAGGGTGGCCCAGCAGATGTGTTTGCAGCCAGCGCCTCCCCATGCAGTGTCCCTCCAGCTTCTGGTGACTCCTCTCTACTGGACGTCTGCCTAGAATTTCACTCCAAACAGATAAACCCAAGACAAATGACATGTTTGAAAACCACTGTGACCTCTGGTCCTGAGGGTTCTTACATGAGCTAACATACCAGTTTGTCTTAGTTCAGTAGAGATTGGATTCTAATGTTGCACAATGTGCTTAGTTGCTCAGTCATTTCTGAGTCTTTGTGACCCCATGGACTGTAGCTTGCCAGGCTCACCTGTCCGTGGGGATTCTCCAGGCAAGAATACTGGAGTAGGTTGCCATGCCCTCCTCCAGGGGATCGTCCCAATCCAGGGATCAAACCCAGGTCTGCATTACAGGCAGATTCTTTACCATCTGAGCCACCAGGGAAGCTAAGGCTTTATAATTGTCTTCTGCGTTTATTCTAAATACTGGCTTTCTCTCCATCTCTCACTTTGTTTCGGCTGAGAGCTGGAAGATTGGAGGAAGGATACTAACAATTCCCAAGTGCCTCTAAGACACCTATTATTGGGTTAGACTATTCACATGTTATTTAAACCTCACACTGTCCTTTTTAAATGGGTATTTTTATTACATTTTAGAGATTAGGAGACTAAGTAACTTGTCTGAAGTCATAAAACTGAGCCAAGAGAGGTGTGCAGAGTTTTGCTTAATAAACCCCTGAAATTAAAAGCTCCTTTGCTTAACTCAAAGGCAGAATTAAGACTGTAACCATGCAGGCCAGCCTTGGACAGATTTAAGTGTACTTTTAAAATAGCCTGTTGAGCCAATATGACATTATTGGGGCGCTGTTTGTAGTATTAACACATTACAATACTCACCCAACAGTTTACAAAGTTCTCCTAAGTTCAATGAGAAAGAATGACCCTCTGATCTCCATTTTGAAAGGAACCTTAGCAGTGTTGCTTTGACTGAACATCCAGTGCATGCTGCTCTGTGTACAGTACATATTTGTTTACAGATCACTAACTACTTGGAAGAGTTAGCCAAGGAATAGAAAGTAGGAATGAAACCTGCTTGTGAGTCTTAAAATTATTCAAGCTCTGGACCTTCTGTTTTGTGGAGCACAAGTCAGTGAGCTCAAGATTTAACTGACAGCTCATGGGAGGAAAGACTACTAGCTTTTGATGTCAGCAGGGGCACCCGAAGTCCAACTTGAAGCATGCCTTGGATGTGGAGATGAGTAGGGCAGGAGGGTCTCATTTCCACACTCCAGAAGCACAGCTATTGTAATGTTAGGTGTGCCTGCATCTGAGCTTGGGCACGTGTACTCTTCTGGATGGAAATAGCAGAAAGACACCTGCCCCACTTTGGCCCCCAGATACTCAGGCAGGACTCCTTTGTGGGTTCCAGGCAGGCTGCTCACAGCAGTGATAGAGACCAGTCACTTAAATCACAGAAAGTTGCTTCTCTGCAACAGGAACTTACCCGGCCCTGGGCAGTGGGGATGGCGCAGCAGGTAAAGAAGTTGACTTGGAGTCCCAGGCTCCACTCTTGCGACCTGCACAGACATATCCACAGGTCAGTCTCTGGTCCTGATGGCACAGTGAGCTGGCCTTGCTGGCAGGCTCCAAAAGACATGCTCATTTTTTGTTACTTTCAATTAAGCATGTATAAGTAGTTACGTTGAAGTTGGGGGGGGAACCTATCATAGGCAAAGGTAATGAAATACTTTTTAAAATGCCAATTTATAAGCTCAGAACTGGAGTGTTAATTAGGAACTCCCATCCTAACATTGCTAAATGACCTCTCCTTGTCCCTATGGGACAAGTTAAGAACCTCTGATTCTGTGGGCTCAGTGAGAGCTCACAAGGGTTCATATGGGAGGGGGTTCACACTTGCATCTATAATCACTGCACATATGTGCACACCAGAGATGCCCAGAGTCAGAGGGGCACAGACCCACCACTCCTGATCACACCTAGAGATACCAATCATTCCTAACTGTGCACACTTACCTAGTACACACACCTCACCTCACATTTGGAGGACACTTATTCACTCATCTCTGCATTCTCAGGGCCTTCACCCGTTGCACAAATACACACATTGAGAAAAGCAGCAAGCTGTAACTGAAATCTCGTCTTCTGAAGCCACAAAAGGGACCCAGAAGGCCTTGTCCACCGTGCCCACTTCCCCTCTCCCTACCTGACCATCATTACGAAAGTGGAAGGTGAGAGACTGGCAGAGATTCACTCCCTAGACAGGGAGCAAGCCTGGAAGGGGAGAGGCCAGAGCTAAGCCAGCACCCCTTAGCATCTCCTGGCTGCCTCCTCTCAGGCTGATATTCATCTGCCTGGACATTACTGCTCAGGGGCATGAAGGCCCTCTATTGAATTAAGTTGAACTGAATAAACATTTTAACTAAGGACCTACGACATTTACAAGTTCACAGTTCCTAATGGACTTAAAAGGGATATGCTATAAATGTAGGTTGGACTTGACCTCCGTATGTATTATTTGAGTTTGCAAGATAAAGCACACATAAGTAAACAGTGAGGGGATAATCAATTACTAAGAATTATTGAGAACCTGGTATGTGTAAAGCACTTGGAGGTACTATGTTAGTTGCTGTGGAAGAGCCAAAGAAGTAAATGTAGGCCTCTGCCTTCTCAGAATTTACAAGGGAAGACAAAGGCACCCCATGCCACCTCATCAGACAGGACCACCTATTCCAAACACAAAAAAGGGGGAAAGGCCTTGAAAAGTATTAAATGCAGACATCATAAAGTTCATTCTCATGTACTTCACTAGAAAGTCCTTCAGGCTCTCAGTCAGAGCCCACTGACTCTTTTTCTACACACAGTCCTTACAAAAGGGCTGATTTCCATAAGCTCTCACCAGCCGCATCTGCAAAAGGAGAGGCCCCTCCCATGTAACTCTTACTGAGATGTAACCCAACCCTGATGTGATTTTTTAAAACACTTTGAAAAAGAAGTTACACTTGAAATTTTTAACATTTCCTGTGGCAATAAACTGCAATATCAACTGAATATGTAGTAGTATGAGTCTTGTGTTTGAGTAGTATAAGTCCTAATGAAACTGTTTCATTAGCTAGGGCATCAAGTTGATATTGCTCTTCAAATTCTCAATATTTAAGATTGACATTGTGAGTGGGAGGTGCTTTCTTTGTGAAATACCCTCGTCTTGACTACCTAAATTTCAAGGGACTTTTACACATTCATAAGTTCAAAAGTCACAGCTATGCTGTTTTTTTCCTTATTGAATATGCTATAAATGAAGGCATTTGCAGTTAAGGTGAAATTTGCCTACATCCAAGGGGGAAAAGAAAAAATTGACATTGTGAAAATACCCTTGGCTACTCATAGATGTTGATGGAAGGTTTTGGTGAAGAGATTTAAAAAAAAAAACCAAAACCTTGCCTGAAAAATAAAGAAGTAGAAAGAAGTCTAAGTCAGAACTTCCTCCCAGCGGTCCCCTCTCTTTTTAAAAGCCAAGGGGTCACTTGGCCTGGGCATGTTATTGTTGTCACATCTACTGTCTGGCTTCTCTACTAAGCTTTCCCTTTCTGTTCTGCAAACAGCCAGACAACGTCTTCCTTTCCCCTTCCCTCCTCACAAATAACTCCTGTGATCAAAGGAGAGGGAGGGGCAGGTTGGCTGTCCTCGGTGCTGGTGGAGTCCAGTATGAGCTCTGGCCTTGCATCAGGAAGACACGGCTCCAGTTGTTTCTCTGTCACCAAACTGGCTATGTGACCTCTTACAAGTCACCACTCCTCAGTTTACTCCTCTGTGAGATGGGAATCCACTAGCTACTTTATCTAACACAGAGTTGTTGTGCTTAGGTAATAGGGTAACAATCCCCATGGCCAGCAGGTAAAGAATCCACCTGCAATGCAGGAGATGCCGGAGACTAGGGTTTGATCCCTGAGTTGGGAAGATCCCCTGGAGAAGGGCATGGCAATTCACTCCAGTATTCTTGCCTGGAGAATCCCATGGACAGAGGAGCCTGGCGGACTACAGTCCATGGGGTTGCAAAAAGTTGGACACGACTGAAGCAACTTAGCACACACACGCATGAACATGTAGAGAATTAACCAGATTCTCAGCTGGGGCTGTACATGCATGCTCAGTTGCTTCAGTCATGTCCGACTCTTTGCAACCCCATGGACTGTAGCCCTTTGTCCCATGGACAGAAGAGCCTGGTGGGCTACAGTCCATGGGGTTGCAAAGAGTCGGACATGACTTAGCAGCTGGGCAGTCACTAAGCAAAGTAAAATTATTGCTGGAAAGGGATTGAAAGTATTTGATGGTCAAAAACATTGAGTAAAGTGAAAGGAGTGAGATGGAAAAGACTACACATTATATGACTCCATCTGTATGAATGTTCATAAAAGATAACTCTGTAGCAACAGACACAGAAGGCAATGGCATCCCCACTCCAGTACTCTTGCCTGGAAAATCTCATGGACAGAGGAGCCTGGTAGGCTGCAATCCATGGGGTTGAGAGTAGGGCATGACTGAGTGACTTCATTTTCACTTTTCACTTTCATGCATTGGAGAAGGAAATGGCAACCCACTCTAGTTATTCTTGCCTGGAGAATCCCAGGGACAGAGGAGCCTGGTGGGCTTGCTGTCTATGGGGTCGCTAAGCAACTTAGCAGCAGCAGCATAGCAACAGAAAGCAGATCAGAATACCCAGGGCTGAGCATGGGAACATCATTGACCAAAAATGGGCACCAAGGCTCTTTTTTTTCTTTTTTTTTTTTCCCAAGGCTCTTTTGGAGTTGGGGTGAACATGGTAAATTTCTAAAATGGATTGTAGTGTTGGTTACAAAACTCTGTAATTGTAATGATTTACCAAAACCATTGTAAAATGAATGGGTTTTATGACTTATGCTAGTTATAAAGGATCTCAGTAAATATGATTATTGCTATTTTCATCTTATTCTCTTGTTATCAACCACTACAGTGTCTCTAGATGCTGGGCACTGGGCCAGGTACTTCACATGTGTCACTTCTGAGCCTCCTACAAGATCCAAGGGAGTGAACAGGGGCTCAGAGAGGTTAAGGGGAAGGTCCATTGCTGAAAACTAAGGTTATTCATGTTGAAAGCCCAGGAAGGCAGTATCCTTTCCAGTCAAAATCTCATAATGTTCTCCTGGGGGCATGACTGGGCTGTCAGACTCTCTTGCTGCTTCTTCCTGTTGTGGGGAAAGATTAGTGAAATAGAGGGGTGCTTTTGTGGATGCCCATGGGAGGATGCAGAATGACTCCTCCAAGGCCAGTGACGCTTCCTGTCACTCTGGCTGAAGTCAGACCCCTGAGCATGACTGGGGAGGGACAACATCATACCCTCCTTACTGCCAGGATCCCCACTTCCTGGTAAAGCTGAATTCTTGGTTGGAAAACTCCAAGGCAGAAATGGGGGATGCAGTAGAGGGAGATGTGTCCAAAAGCATACTAACCAAAGAGAAAAATCAGCTCTGTTTAAATCACAGTGAGCAAAATTTATGCTAATTTAAAATTTTTTATTTATTTATTTAGCTTCGCTAGGTCTTAGTTGCAGCATGTAAGATCCTCAGTTGTGGCATGCGAAGTCTTTAGTTGCGGTATATGGGATCTAGTTCCCTGACCAGGGATCAAACCTAGGCCCCCTGCACTAGGAGGTCAGAGTCTTAGCCACTGGATTGCCAGGGAAGTCCCTATGTTAATGTTTGATTTAACAGCACAGGCTTTGCATAAGCTGCTGGTTACTAAGTTTTCTTAACTGGGAAAACAATTTACCCTTAGTTTTTCCTTCAACCACATTTATTTTATACTGTTCATACTGTTCATGGGATTCTCAAGGGAAGAATGCTGAAGTGGTTTTCCATTCCCTTCTCCAGTGGACCACATTTTGTCAGAACTCTCCACCATGACCCATCCGTCTTGAGTGACCCTACTTGGCATCACTCATAGTTTCATTGAGTTACACAAGAGTGAACATTGACATTTTAGGAATCAGTGAACTAAAATGGACTGGAATAGGCAAATTTAATTCAGATGACCATTATATCTACTACTGTGGGCAACAATGCCTTAGAAAATGGAGTAGCCTTCATTGTCAAAGGGGTACTCTGGTGGCTCAGAGGTTAAAGCATCTGCCTGCAATGCAGGAGACCAGGGTTTGATCCCTGGGTCAGGAAGATCCCCTGGAGAAGGAAATGGCAACCCACTCCAGTATTCTTGCCTGGAGAATCCGATGGAGGGAGGAGCTTGGTAGGCTACAGTCCAAGGGGTCGCAAAGAGTCGGACACAAATAAGCTACTTCACTTTCACTTTCATAGTCAACAAAAGAGTCGGAAATGCAGTACTTGAGTGCAATCTCAAAAGCAACAGAATGCTGTTTGTTTCCAAGGCAGGCCATTCAATATTACAGTAATCCAAGTCTATGCCCCAACCAGTAATGCTGAAGAAGCTGAAGTTGAATGGTTCTATGAAGACCTACAAGATCTTCTAGAACTTACACCCAAAAATGATGTCTTTTTCATCATAGGGG